GGGGGGGGGGGGGGGAGGCCCGGGCGAGGCCCTCTGCCTCCCGGAGAAGAAAAGAATTCACTGCTTGAATGTCTAACAGCCCCCCCCCCGTTTATCCTTGTCCAAAGGGCTCTTCGGAGCTACGATACCGGCAGCGTTTGTAAGAGGGGAGCCCTCGCCCTTCTCCCCTTTCAAGTGCAAACGCGCTCGCGCCGGAGAACGTCCATTCGCCCGGGGAATTCGCCGGCGCTACACGCCGGCGGTAGGTCGCTCGCATCCCGCGGCAGCCCTTTCTACCTGTGTACGAGAGGTGGGTACTGGGGAGGGATTCAAAGGGAATCGGCGACGGAGCCAAAACTGGGGACAGGAGGAAAACTAGAACACGGGCATTGTGTAGGTAGCGAATAACTTTTGTTCCGGCCGGGGAGACAAGCAGGGGCCTTTTCTGGACGGCGGCGGGGGAGACCCACCGGGTGACCTTGGCGGGAACTCTTTCACAGGTTAATCTACCTGAATGGAGCAGCTCAACACATGCCATTCTGAGATCTTTTGAAGAAAAAGAAGATTGAAAATATGATAAATATTAAAGGAAGGGAGCAGTTCGTAAAGAGACACACCACTCTTTTTTTTTTTTTTTTAGTTGTGTAGCTGTTTGGACCAGTTTATTCTCTCTCTCTCTCTCTCTCTCATTCTCTCTCTGTTCTGGAAATATGAATTCCAAACTGCTCACATGCACGCTATGAGTATGTGCAAGTGTTATGATGTTATTCACATATGGACTTGTTGGCTAGGGGCAATGTTTGTGGAAATGTCAATATGGTGTGATTCAGGGATCCACTGCTGCAATGTATTTGGTGTTCTTTTCTCTATCATTGTTACAACTCTGTTCACTTTGTATTCCACAGTTGCACGGTGGGTTTATCCACCTTCTAGCAATTTATTTTTGTTGGATATATAAAAGAACACACTGAACAAGGACCAAAAAATCTAGGTTTAAATATCTACTCAGACAAAAATTTCCCTGGGTAACTTTGGATCGTCATCAGTGCAAGTGAGTGTGGGGTTTACTCCCTGTTCCAATTCCTGGAAGCTTGGCATTCAGACGAATCAGCCATCCGTAGACACATAGAGATAAACCACATTTACACACCATCAAAAGAGACAGTAAAAAAAGCTAAGAACAAATCCTCTCCAGCAGCCAACATCCAGATAAGCAGGGATTAACACCAGGCAAACAATCAAGCAGAAAACAATGCTCTAATCAAGGAACTACCAAGGAGAAAATGATACCCCCACCAACACTGGCAGGGCAAGCTACTGTGTATAAACAGGGAGCAAACCCCACACTCGCACTGATGATGTTACCTAGTTGGGTAAGGAAATGTCTGCAAGCAAACAACCAAGCTCAGAGAGCACCAAGGATTCCACAGTTCAACCCTGAGCTACGTATATTCTCTTCTATGGAACTTTGGATCGGTCACTCAGCCCTACCTGCAGCTCACAAAACAATTTGCCTTTTAATAAAATATCTTGGAAAAGGTGCTACCAGATTTCTTTTGCTTTTTTGCCACCATAGATTTGACACAGCTCTCCTCCTACAGGGTCAATCTATCTTAACATAATTGTGAAAACAAAAGTGGAAGGAAGAGGATGGGACAGGGCAAACAGCATGTCAACTGCCTTACATCCTAGAGGAAAGGCAGGATTCAAATTGGGAGTGGTCAAGGCCCACACAAAGCTTTGTGTGGCCTGGGAAGGGCCTAATTCCAAAATGAGGGGGACCAGGGCCTTTGAGGAAAGAGTTTCAGGAGTTTCATACGGTGAAATTAGCGCATTAATCATTGGCAAGAGTTAAGGCCCTTGTCTTGCCCTGTAAAATTTCCCAAAATTACTATGGGGACAGAAAAGGAATGCTGGCAGGCCACATTTTTGTACTTTTTTTCTAGTTATGCCATAAATAACTACTTATCTACATATTGATTTTTATTTGATTGTTATCTGTGAACCTTCCCCATCTGATTCTTTTCCCTCCAAGCATTTTATTGAATCTTCAGCATGTATTACCTTCACAATCTAACAGTTGTGCTTGTCTATTACAGTCTTTAGGTTTGAATGCTTCTTTCTAGGCATTAAAGTGCTTTCAGAGAAAGTCTCATGCAAAGTTCACAAGAGGATGTACCAAATAATAAAGATGATGTCTCAGTGTTGATCCCACTGCTGTTTTTTTCTCCATTATTTCCTTATCCCACCCCTCATCAGCTAAGGAAGAAAAGACAGAATGGTTACATTTTTTTTTAATTGGTAAAACACATCACCTCCATCCAGAAGCTTCCATATTTGTAGCCCTGCTAGTAGGGATAGTTGCCATGCTATCCTTATCCTGGATTGTCTTTTTAAAGTCTTTTTCCACTGCTGAAGCTTTTGCCATCCATCCCTGAAGTGGTAGAAAACTCTGTTGGCTTGAAGTTTGCTGTCTTCATGGTCAATCCCATTCATTCATTCATTCTTTCATTATTAAACTTATATAACCGCCCATCCCACCCTTGTGACTCTGGGCAGTGCACACAGTTAAAAACAAAGCCAAACAATCAACACAATTAACCATTAAAATACAGTTAAAACAATTAAAAACAATTAAAATACAGTTAAAACAATTAAAAACTATAATAACAAAAAGATGGGGAGAATGCTAATACTTACAAACAATGCAGCCTTTTAATGGGCTCCACATTTCCATGGGATCCGCAGTCCTGATGGCAGAACCAAGATTTAAGGGCCTTCTGAAAAGCTAATGAGGTTGGGGCCAATCTCACCTTGGGGGGAATGACGTTCCAGAGGGCAAGTGCCACTGCAGAAAAGGCTCTCCTGGGTCCAGCCAAATGAAGCTCCTTTGCTGATGGGGCCCACAACATGCCCCTCCTGCCAGAGCTGATGGGATCCTACCTATGGTGTCTTTGTTCCTAATCACTGACTCCCTTGACTTCCCTCCAAGATAGCAGGTACTGTAACAAAGAAGCTTATCACAGATTTTATGCATGTTGAGGCTGCCTTTGGACTATGTCTGAATAAGAGGGAAACTACTATAGTACACCTAAGGATGATTTGAGACTGTCTTACCCATGGGCTGGGTCAAGATGAAGGCAACATCAGTGGCTGTGGTAGAAAAATAATGTTGCCAGGGAATGCTTGTGCCATGGTTAGGTGTGAACGAGGAAGGGCTTTCTCTGAACTGTTTGAACTTTTCTTATTTGAAAGGTAGTACAACATGTTTATATTACAGCAGCACGTTAGTGTAATGATCTAGGTCTTAATCCTCTGTAGTTTTTTTTTTCTAAACTCAAATGATTAATTCCTGACTGTACAGATATTGATGTGGCTTCCTTTACTATGTATCGAGTTTATTTATCATGCAAAGGTGTTGCTAGAACTTCATGATGTATATGCAACAGAAGCATAACTTATGCCAAACATCTTTAACCAGTTTAAGGGTCAAGCCAATTTTATTGAACTTCTTTTTTTTAACATACATACCCATCATGCTATTCCCTTTTGGAGTAAGCAATGTTGTAGAGAGAATAGAAAAGGAATAAGAAATAAGCCAAATAAATTGGAGGAAATAAGGAAAAGAAAACACAGCTTTGTGGAGTCCTTGGTGCTCTCTGAGCTTGGTTGTTTGCTTGCAGATGCTTCATTACTGACTAGGTGACATCATCAGTGCTAGTGAATGTGGGGTTTGCTCCCTGTTTATATACAGTAGCTTGCCCTGCCAGCGTTGGGGGGGGGGGTATCATTTTCTCCTTGGTAGTTCCTTGATTAGGGTATTGTTTTCTGCTTTTGGTACTATTGACCATGGTATCCTGGACAGCATCCAAGGGATTGGGGTGGGGGTGAAAAAAAGTGGGGAGAGATCCTCAAAACACACCACAAAGTAGAAGACTGCAAGTAGATCCCTCCATTCCTAGTACCTACTACATAGCTACTTCTGGTCACTCATGCCTTACCCATCTTCTCGTTGGATTACTGTAATGTGTTCTACTTTGGGCTATCCTTGAAGAACATCTGGAAGCTACAGCTGATACAGAATGGGACAGATCGAGCAGTGAGGGGCATGCCCTGATATATTTTGTTGATCTCTCTGCTTTGTGAGCTCCGTTATTTGTCAATGGTGTGATTTAAGGTGCTGGTTATTACCTTTAATGCCCTACATGGCTCTATTCCTGGTTTATCTGAAGGACCACCTCCCCTGGCATTCATCTACCTATCCAACCAGATCTCACAGGGCTAACTATCTCCTAACTAGTTAGGGCTCACTCTCATAGGGCTAATTAGATGGGATTGTCATTTGACAGAGCCTCAGAAGCGGATTTTTTTCCATCACCACCCCATTCTTTGGAACTCTCTACCAGTAGAGCTTCAGTCCTCTTCATCCCTTCTGTGCTTTAAGAAACTTTTAAAAATTTCCCTTTTCTGGTGGCATAAGAGGAGAGTGTTTTATAATATGCAGATGGGGTCTGCAGTGTGCATGGTTTTTTATATAGACTTTTTTTCTGTTTATATTTGGGTTTAATTTTTTTTTAATTGTTCACTGTTAGCTGACCCATACAAACTTAATAAATAAATAAAGTAAGTAAGTAAGTAAGTTACAGAATAGGAAAGGAAAAGGATCTGTAAATCCAAAAAGTTCTGATCACAAGATTCCCACAGCTACCATACATGGATTCTTCTGTTTGGCTACCAAATGAGATCCTAGGGCTTCTGCACTGCATGCTTGCTGTGACAGATTTCCCTACTCTTAC